CCCCTCCAATCCTCTTCAATTCTGCAATCTGAGGATGATCTTTTCTTAGCTTCGAGAGAGAATTTTTTTTCAGCACTGATGCTGTTAGCATTTCTGACAAATTGCTGTCAACTGAACGACCAGATCTGTATGTTATCTTCCCCAATGCGCACAGTTTTTCCATTTTGTATTTCTTTCTTTCTTGATTGTGCTCTCGATTTTCTTTTTTTAAAACTAATGAACAACATACCATACTTATTTTTGTTGACCATTTTTGATTGGACCAAATGTAACAATGTTGTTAAATTGTGATTTTCGGAGGTTGTGTGTGATGTTACTGTCAGATCAAGTTGACAAATTTGACATACCAGACACATTTCTGGGAACAATATTTAGAAAGGATAAGTAAAATAATGTCAGTTTAAAGCCTGAAAGAGAGAGAGAGGGAGAGAGAGAGAGAGAGAGAGAGAGAGAGAGAGAGAGAGAGAGAGAGAGAGAGAGAGAGAGAGAGAGAGAGAGAGGGAGAGAGAGAGAGAGAGAGAGGGAGAGAGAGAGAGAGAGAGAGAGAGAGAGAGAGAGGGAGAGAGAGAGAGAGAGAGAGAGAGAGAGAGAGAGAGGGGGAGAGAGAGAGGGAGAGAGAGAGAGAGAGAGAGAGAAAGAGAGAGATGCACACAGTTTTTTTTATAATTGTAATAATAATTTTTTAATAAATGATTTTAAAGAATAAAAAATAATATTTGCATTTATATAGCTATAATATTCTATAGAAGTTCTATAATCATTATTAAAAAAATAATTTATCGATAAATATTTTTTCCCCCTCAACATTTGTCTCTACAATATAATGTTCTGTCTTCTAACGGCCCAAGTTTGGACCCGTGTGTTTGTGTTGAGTTCAACTAATGACCTTTGCTCAGTTTGAGAAGTGTTTGTTTGTTTGTTTGTTTGTTTGTTTGTTTGTTTGTTTGTTTGTTTGTTTTGTTTGCTGGTTTTCTGTCAGACTTTTGTTTTGGTCTCACACATCAAGGAATGTTTTTCTCTATTAACTTTTTGTTTTGTTTACTTTTTCCCAAATATTCTTTTGAGTGGTAACTGAGCTTGTATGTATGTTGGAGGATGGTTGTGAGAGGTTCTTGTTTAGTTGTTGGAGAAAAGTGTCACAAAGTTCAAGGTTCGTGGGGGGGGGGGGGAGTTAGGGGGGACTCTCCCCTTATTCTATCTCTGTCTCTCTGCTGACTATCTCTGTTTTTCTCCTTTTGTTCTTTCTGTCACTCATCTATCACCCTTGTCTCTCATTCTTTAGTTCCTGTCAGTCATCTATCACCCTTGTCTCTCATTCTTTTGTTCTTTCTGTCAGTCATCTATCACCCTTGTCTCCCATTCTTTAGTTCCTGTCAGTCATCTATCGCCCTTGTCTCTCATTCTTTTGCTCCTGTCAGTCATCTATCGCCCTTGTCTCTCATTCTTTAGTTCCTGTCAGTCATCTGTCACCCTTGTCTCTCTTTCTTTTCTTCCTGTTAGTCATCTATCGCCCTTGTCTCTCATTCTTTTCTTCCTGTCAGTCATCTATCGTCCTTGTCTCTCATTCTTTTGTTCCTGTCAGTCATCTATCGCCCTTGTCTCTTTTTCTTTTCGGAGCATGTTATTCTCTAATGACACTTTTAATCTGTGGCACCTACTTGTATATGACCTTTTTTGTGTTGCAAGTGCTGTAAAACTCTGTCAATCATCTATCGTCCTTGTCTCTTATTCTTTTTTGAGCATGTTACTCTCTAATGACACTTTTCATCGTTGGCACTGATATTACGGCCTTTATGTGTTGCAAGTTCCGTAAAACTCTGTCAATCATCTATCGTCTTTACCTTTTCTTTGCACAGTACCCTTTAATATGTGTGTGTGTGTGTGTGTGTGTGTTTGTGTGTGTGTGTGTGTGTGTGTTTGTGTGTGTGTCTGTGTGTGTGTGTGTGTGTGAGTGTGTGTGTCTGTGTGTGTGTGTGTGTGTGTGTGTCTGTGTGTGTGTGTGTGTGTTTGTCTGTGTGTGTGTGTGTGTGTGTGTGTGTGTGTGTGTGTACGTGGTGAACCATCAAACCAATGTACCAGGATCTGGACAGTAAAGATGTATTTCTTGTCTTATCTATCGTAATCTTGGGTACTGATGTTAGGACTTTTTGTGTTGCACATGCCGTAAAACTCTGACACTAGAACTAAAGCACTTGTCCCTTGGTGTCGCCAGCACCCGCTGATCGAGGAGCGGATGTACCAACAGATGGCGCTCTCTGCGTCTGCCATGGCCTACTCCTGGTCCAAGTGGAACGGCGAGACGGAGCGGGAACAGATCGTCTTCCAGGCGGCCGAGTCCCTGGAGGATGTTCCTTTGTTGGAGGTTTGGGCTGTCTCTAGCTGGTCTCAGCTTTAGAGAAAACTACTTTTTTATTTTATTATTTTTTAAAAATTTATTTATTTTTTAATTTTTAATTTTGTGCTGTCTGTAGCTGGTCACAGCTGGAAAAAAGCGACTTAAAAGAAAAAAATGTTATTGATTTATTTTTTAATTATAATTTTTGTTTGACCTCTTGGTCTCAGTGGGAAAGAGGAAGAGAAAAGAGGCAGTCTTCTAGGCCTCTGGGTCTGTGGTGGATGTTCTTCTATATATGAGGTGTGTGCCGTCTGTCGCTGGTCTCAGCTGTACAGAAAAAGAAACTATTTGTTTTGTGTTGTTTTGAAGTGTCCTGACAACGTGAATTACTTCTCGCTATCCACAAATGGAGAGATTGGCCGAAAGTCAACATTGGGGTCAAATTTGTGTATTTTCTATCGATGCTATATTATTAGGGTGACCTTATTTAGGCCACATATGGCCTAAATAAGCTAAACCCCTCTCCCTTACCTTATTTAGGCCACACCTGTGGCCTGAATAA